ACACCAATTACTACAGGACAAAATTGAACATTTTTACCAACCTCTGCAGTCTGAAATTGATCAGTCATACAATCAAGATGCATTGATAATTACTAGTGACTGGAACGTGGAAGTTGGAAACAAAGAAGCATCAGTAGTTGTAAATATGGCATTGGTGACAGAAATGACACCAGAGATCATATGAAAGAATTTTGCAAGACCAACGACCTATTCATTGGAAATACCTTTTTTCAACAATATAAATGGTGACTATACCATTTATATTCCTGTGTATTCCATCACACAGGAATGGAATACACAGGAATCAAATCGACTACATCAATGGAAAGAGTCAATGGAGAAGCTCGATATCATCACTCTGAACAAGGCCAGGGGCCAATGCAGAACAGACCATCAATTTCTCACATGCAAGTTCAAGCTGAACCTGAAGAAAATTAGAACAAGTCCACAAGAGTCAAAGTACAACCTTGAGTATATCCCACCTGACTTTAGAGACCATCTCAAGAATAGTTTTGATGCATTAAATACTAGTGACTGAAGACCAGACAAGTTGTGGGATGACATACATGAAGAAAGCAAAACTTCATTACAAAGACAGGAAAGGGAGGGAAAAAAAAGGACCAAAATGAATGTCAGAAGAGACCCTGAAACATGCTCTTGAATGTAGAGTAGCTAAAGCAAATGGAAAGAATGATGAAGTAAAAGAGCTGAAAAAAAGATGTCAAAGGATGGCTTGAGAAGACAAAGTAAAGTATTATCATGAAATGCGCAAAGACCTAGAGTTAGAAAACTAAATGGAAAATACATACTTTGCATTTCTCAAGCTAAAGAACTGAAGAAAAAAATTCAAGCCCTGAGTTGCAATACTGAAAGATTCTATGGGCAAAATATCGAATGACGCAGGAAGCATCAAAAGAAGACGGAAGGCATACAGAGTCGCTGTATCAAAAAGAACTGCCAACATTCAACCATTTCAGGAGGCAGAATATGATCAAGAACTAATGGTACTGAAGGAAGAAGTCCAAGCTACACTGAAGGCACTGGTGAAAAACAAGACTCCAAAAATTGACAGAATTCCAACTGAGATGTTTCAACAAACAGATGCAATGCTGGAAGCACTCACTCATCTATGCCAAGAAATTTGGGAGACATCTATCTGCCCAAACAACTGGAAGAGATCCATGTTTGTGCCTATTCCAAAGAAAGGTGAGCCAACAGAATGCAGAACTTATCGAACAATATCATTATCACATGCAAGTAAAATTTTGCTGAAGATAAGTCAAAAACAGTTGCAGCAGTGTATCAGCAGGGAACTACCAGAAATTCAGGCTGGGTTCAGGAAAGGACGTGGAATGAGGGATATCACTGACGATGTCAGATGGATCTTGGATGAAAGCAGAGAAATACCACAAAGATGTTTACCTTTGTTTCATTGACTATGCAAAGGCATTTGACTGTGTGGATCTTAACAAACTGTGGATAACATTGTGAAGAACAGAAATTCCAGAACACCTAATTGTGTTCATGTGGAACCTGTACATAGACCAAGAAGCAGTCGTTCTAACAGAACAAGGGGGTGCTGCATGTTTAAAGTCAGGACAGGTGTGTGTCAGGGTTGTATCCTTTCACCATACTTACTCAATCTGTATGTTGAGCGAATAATCCAAGAAGCTGTGCTATATGAAGAAGAACATGGCATCAAGACTGAAGGGAGACTCATTAACAAACTTGATATACAGATGATATAAACTTGCTTGTCGAAAGCGAAAACGACTTGAAGCACTTACTGATGAAGATCAAAGACTACAGCCTTCAGTATGGATTACACCTCAGCATAAAGAAAACAAAAATTCTCACAACTGGACCAACAAGCAACATCATGATAAACAGAAAAAAGAACTGAAGTTGTCAAGGACTTACTTTACTTGGATCCACAATCAATGTCCATGAAAGCAGCAGTCAAGAAGTAAAGCAAAGTATCTGTCTTAGGCTGGGTTCTCTGGAGAAGCAAAACCAGTAAAGCATATATATATATATATATATATATATATATATATATATATATATACATACACACATACATACAGAGATTTGTGTCAGGGAAATGGCTCACACAGTTGTAGAGGCTGTAACGTCTCAAGTCCGTGGGTCAAGACAGAGGCTTCTCCTGATTCACACAGCCACAGGGGCTGCCGAACCCAAGATAGGCAGGTCGGAGAGCAGGGCTCTCAGTCACACGCTGCGAAGATCAACGAATCCCAAGATTGGCAGGCAAGACTGCAAGTAAGCCGCTAGCTCAAGTTCCAAGAACTGGAAGTCTGAGGAACAGGAGCCAGCTGCAGGATCCAGAATAAGCAAAAGCTCCAGAGCCCTGCCAGAATGTCCGCCCACACTCGATGCAGGCCACACACCCAAGGAAACTCCCCTTAACCGACTGGCTACTCACAGCAGATCCTGTCATGGGGGCAATCACATATCAATTTCAACAGGGAAGTGACCACATTACATGACTGCCAGAATACTGAGAATCATGGCCCAGCCAAGTTGACACACAATCTTAATGATCACAGTATCCAAAAAAACCAAACTCGTTGCTGTGGAGTCAATTCCAACTCATCGTGACCCCACAGGACACAGTAGAACTGCCCCACAGGGTTTTCAAGGACCAGCTGGTGGATTTGAACTGTCAACCTTTTGGTTAGCAGGCGAGCCTTAACCACTGTGCAACCGGGCTCCAAACAATGTATAGCAGTGGGCAAATCTGCTGCAAAAGACCTTTTTAAAGTGCTAAAAGGCAAAGATGTCACTTTGAGGAACAAGGTGTGCCTGACCCAACCCATGATATTTTCAACTGCCTCATATGCATGCAAAAGCCGGACAATGAATAAGGAAGATGGAAGAACTGAAGCATCTGAATTATGGTGTTGGGGAAGAATACCGAATATACCACAGACTGCCAGAAGAATGAACAAATGTCTTGGAAGCACTCACCGATGAAGACCAAAGACTACAGCCTTCATTATGGATTACGCCTCAACATAAAGAAAACAAAAATCCTCACAACGGGCCCAATAAGCAACATCATGATAAACGGAGAAAGTACTGAAATTGTCAAGGATTTCATTTTCTTGGATCCACAATTAACACCCATGAAAGCAACAGTCAAGAAATCAAATAGTGTACTGCATTTAGCAAATCTGCTGCAGAAGACCTCTTTAAAGTGTTAAAAAGCAAAGATGTCACTTTGAAGACTAACGTGTGCCTGACCCAAGCCATTGTATTTTCAATCACTTCATATGCATGCGAAAGCTGGACAAGAAGGAAGACCAAAAAAGAACTGATGAGTTTGAATTATGGTGTTGGCAAATAACACTGAATATACCATGGACTGCCAGAAGAACGAACAAGTCTGTCTTGGAAGAAGTACAGCCAGAGTGCTCCTTGGAAGGAAGGAAGGCAAGACTCTGTCTCCTGTACTTTAGGCATGTTATCAGGAGGGACCAGTCCCTGGAGAAAGACATCATGCTTGGTAAATAAAGGGTCAGTGAAAAAGAGGAAGACCCTCAATGAGATGGACTGACACAGCAGCTGCAACAATGGGCTCAAACACAGCAATTATTGTGAGGAGGTATCCAGATCAGGCAGTGTTTTGTTTTGTTATATATATAGGGTCGTTGTGAGTCAGAACCAACTTGAGGGCACCTAACAACACAACAACAGATGTGTGTAAATACACACATAGTTTTGTTTGTTTACTGTCTGCCTATCCCAGCAGACAATAACCTCCATAAGTGCAGAGACTTTGTTTTGTTCATTGCTCAATCCTGAGGGCTTAACACAGTGCCTGGCAGACAGATGGCACTCAACAACTATTTGTTGAACAGAGACAACAGTTTGTTGTGTAAATTGCAATTTGCTTCATTATACTTAAAATGCTTTTATCCTCTTTAAAAAAAAAAAAAAAAAAACTTCAACAGTGTCAAACAAATTAGAGAGCTACTACCTTACCAAAAAAGCTTCCTTATACTATTTTACCAATTTCATTCATTCACCGTTTCTTTCATCACCTGGCATCAGTTACTAAAACCCCAAGTATGTACTTAAGAGAAATTCTTTAATTCAGTTAGTCAAGACTTGAATGGAGCCTTAGAAATCATCTAATTCTCAGTTGAGAGTAGTTAACTAGCCTTACCAAGTTACAGTTAGTAGCAGAGTCGTCATGTGTACCCAAGTTCCTGATTCAGTTTAGTGCTTTTTTCAAAACCCATCTCTGCGTGGTACATTTTCTCTGAAGGAAGAATTGACACAGAACCGCTACCATCCAGAGACTCACACTTGTTCACTTTGGAAATATATTTTTAATGAAATACAACAACCTTACCCAGTATCAAGAATCAAGCTGTCTCTACTTAGAATTTGGGCAGTTATTACAACTGAAAATCAGAAATATACGTAGTTCGTTATAAAGTTAGGGTTCCAGTGGTTAATAAACTTACTAAATCAAAAGTAGTAGTCCTCTTTATTAGAGAATTTTTAGCATAAGCTAAGTAACGTTATTTTAGAAACAGCAGTAGTTCTCCCTTCCTCTCCCCCCAAAAAAGAAGAAACTGGAAAATAGCACTAGTTGAAGAAAATAATTTTTCACGTGTTGCTTTTAAACACAAAAACCTCAGTATTCTGAAATATCAGAGACTTCCTATAATAGAGTACTAAAGGGATTTTCTTTTTCTTGATGCACAGTACGCAAACAAACCGAAAAGCTGCTTTTACGCAAACATGCATTAACGTCCATGGGTTATAGCAACACTTTTGGACCAGTGCGACGATTCCCCTCTGACCACGCGCGAGGAGGCCACCTTCTCCCTCCCAGCAAATTCCCAGAGCAGAACAAGGGATCTGCAGGAGGTCGAGAGCTCACTGAGGCCTTCGCCGCCGCCCTGAAGAGAAGCCCTAGTAGACCCCCGTCCCCACGCCGCCTCTGCGGCGCCCCCTCAAGCTACCTTTCCGCCGGAAGAAGGACATGGCGGGACCCGGGTCGGGGCGGAGGGCCCGGGGGGATTGTCGCGGGGACGGCCCGGCTCCCCTCATTCAGCAACTGGCCCGGACTTCCGGGTCCGCAGCAGCCGCCGCACTAGCTCGTGAAAAAACGCTTCTTCCGGGTGTGGGCCCCACTGCCTCCTAAAGATGCCTGGGCCGCGCCTGCCGCCATATTATCAACAAGCCGCCCACCCGGAGTTCCGGTCCTTCCCCGCGCGGGGCTTCACGGGAGGCTGAGCGGCCGGCCCCGCCCCCGACTCGCTCGAGGGTGCGGACGCGCGCCCGCGCCGCTCACGTGACCTTGCGGGCGTGCGGCTTTCGCCCTTCTACCGAACTGTACATGTTGAAGGCAGTGGCGGCGAGATCTCTGCTTCGCTGCTAGTAGTCCAAGTAATGGCACCGGCGCTGCAGACCCAGTCTCTGCAAACCAACCCTCCTGGAGCGGGATCCCTCCCGGAGCTCCCCGCTCGTTCGGGACCACGCGCCGCCCTCGGAACACTCTCCTAAAGGCTGGGCCAGCACTGCCACTCTCCGGTTAATTTCTTACTGTTTTCCGTTTCACATTTGCTAAAATTAGGCGCTGGCCGGCTTGGGCTGGCTTCATCCTGCATTTCCACCCCTTCCTCTCGTGAGAGGCTTCGAAGCTTGCCAGAACCCTGATGGGGAATAGGAGGCATGAACCGGTTCACGCGGCGCCGGTGAATCCCTTGGTCACGGTGACCTCGGGAATAAGAAAAGAGAAGTGGGCTTATTTTCATAAGGCGATCTCTGCGAATGCTGAAATTTGATAGGGATGCAACATAAGAGCCTCACCAGTATTTACTAGGCAAACTCCAGTGAATCATCCTTCAAGTCTTGTTTAAATGTCATTTTCCCTGTGAATTTTCTGACCCTCACTTTACTAAAGCAGTGAAATAAAGCCTCCACACCTTTAGTGCCCCGCATCACCCACCCCCACCCCCATTCCCCGCGAGTGGAGTCAACTGAATAGGTCATTGTCTGTAGCCCTTAGCTCCTGCCAGTGAGGGACCCAGGAAAACTGTGTGTGCAGTTGCCATCCAGTTGATTCCAACTCATAGCGATCCTATAGTAGAAACTCAGTAAATGTTGGCTAGATTTTTTAATTATGTGAAGAATGAGGAATCTGAGATCCAGAGAGAAGAGGCTACTTGCCCAAGATTATTCAGTGTCAGTGTTGAGACTAGAACTAGAACCCAGGGTCTTTTCACTGTAATATTAGAGCAGGTTAATAGATTAGTCTGTTTTGGTTGGGGCTTATTTACAAATGCATGTAAGACGTGTTGATATTTACTGAAAAGTTACTATGTGCAGGTTCTGTGCTAAACCTTCCAGATTAACCCTATAATAGCCCTAGGGGAGCCCTGGTGGCGTAGTGGTTAAGAGCTCAGCTGCTAACCGAAAGGTCGGCAGTTCCAATCCACCAGCTGCTCCTTGGAAACCCTATAAGGCAGTTCTACTCTGTCCTATAGGGTCGCTATGAATCGGAATTGAATTGACTTGACCACAACGGGTTTGGTTTTTGGTTTAACAGCCCTAGGAGTCAGTCTTAGTAAGACAAAACTAGGCATAGAAAAACAAAGTGACCTGCCCAGAGTCACAAGCTAATTAGAAGAGAAGCCAGGATTTCAAACCTAGATGGTCAGACTCCAGAGCCCAAAGTTAAGGCTCTACCAAGGTAAGGAGCGTGTCCACCAGCTCTGGGCAAGAGCAGGAGAGACTGGCCATAACTCTGGATGCCCCCAGTGCATCCTACATCTGAGCTGGTGCTGAGAATGGACATCTGTCAGACTGTGTCCTCAGCCTCAGTGGAGGCTGCCAATGGATCTGAACTAGCCCGAGACTCGGAAGTGCCCTTGAAAACCAGTCTGCACTCGCAGGTTGCCCCCTCTCCAGTCCCCCCCATTACCCTCCTCCAGGGGAAAGGGAGATTGGCTGAAATCAAGGACAGCTGGAGTGGGGTGTGGTCTAAGTGGGATTTCTCTTTACTAGAGCAGTATAAGAGGAGTCCCTGGGTGGTACAAAGGGTTAACAGCACCTGTCTGCTAACTGAAATGTTGGCGGTTGGAGTCCACTCAGAGGTGCCTCAGAATAAAGGCCTGGTGATCTACATCTGAAAAATCAGCCACTGAAAACCTTATGGAGCACAGTTCTACTCTGACACACATAGGGTTGTCATGAGTCTGAATCTACTAGTCAGCAGCTAGACATACATGGATAAAGGATAAATAGTATCTAGCAGAGAAGCCTAAGTACAGGGCTTTTACACTCTTAGCAAGATAGCACAGCACCCTGCTCTTGTTCTTGTCCAGAGATCAATCCTTTAGCAAGGGCTGCTTTATATTTGTTGACTGGTGTGGTCATTAAGGTTATGTGTCAACTTGGCTGGGCCATGATTCTTAGTGGTTTGGCAGTTACGATGTAGTTTGGTGGTCGTATAATGATGTAATCACTTCCATGATGAGATCTGCTATGATCTCATCTGCCAATCAGTTGAAAGGGAGTTTCCTTGGGGATGTGGTCTGCATCCAATATATGTGGACTTTCTGGCAAAGCTCGCTGACTTTTGCTGTGCTCTGAATCCTGCATTTGGCTTGTCAGCATCTGACCTCCAGTTCTTGGAACTTGGGCCAGCAGCCTACCATCTCACCTGTGGATCTTGGGTTCATCAGCCCCTGCAGCTTTGTGAGTCAGGAGAAGCCTCTAGCCTGACGCTTGACCCATGGACTTGGGACTTGCAAGCCTCTACAACCACATGAGCCATTTCCTTGAGATAAATCTCTCTCTTTATGTAAAACATACGTATACGCTTCACTGGTTTTGCTTCTCTAGAGAACCCAGCCTAAGACAACTGGTTAGTTCGTTGGAGCAGGAGGGTTATGGAGAGAGGGAGTTCAAGAAATCGCCTGAATGTCTCTGAGATGGAGTACTGCCAGGGGAGGGAAGAGTGCTCTAGTCCTCTAAATCTCCAACTAAGTATAGAATCAGTATAAAAGCAGTGGCCTACCTTGCATACCAACTTAATTGCTGCACTTCAGCCTCTCCTAGCAGAACTTTTGGAGTGCTCTTTATTTCCCCAGACAGCTAAATGCATGCCAGTAGCTAATAATTGCTGTCATTATTTATTTAGTACTTATTACGTGCCCTCAGTGTACTAAGTGCTTTACAATCACAATTCCATTTCCCACTTAATCCTTTGCCCTTCCCCTGCAAAAAAGACCCCATGAGACGGCTACTATCATTACCCCCAATTTATAGTTGATGACCCTGAGGGTCAGAGTAACTTATGCAGGATCACAAGGCTACTAACACAGGATTTCAGTTGCTATCCATCTGACTCCAAGGATGACTGCGGATACACTTCCTTCTGTTTTTCTGCCCACCTCCAGATAATACCATTAATCTAATGTTCCAGCATGTGGGATCTCCATTTATTGGGCATATATAAGAGGATGAATAGTATCCAGCAGTTCAGATTCTTCAGGTCTTTTTAAGCTTAGGGAGGATTTATCTTGAGAGTATTATCATCTATCTTTTGAAATTTGATGATCCACATATGAATAAAGTTAAAATAAAACGAGTATAAAAATAAACGTGAATATTAACCTGAGTACCCTAGTGTTGGGGCAAACTGAGACCCTGCATTGCATTTCAAAGTTAATCTGTTAGAGTTATTTAATTTACATGTAAAACAAGAAATTTTTACAAGGAGTGCCTCTATGCTCCTAACTTTAACATAATCTTCAGTCTTTTCATACCAGTTGTATCAGTAACAACAAATCACTGAGGCAAAATCAGCAAGTTGATTATCACAAAGCCAGTGAATAAAATTAATCTATGATAAAAATTGTTTACAAATTTGATCAACAATATTCTATAACACTGTAACAAATGAACTTTTTAAATCAAACATTCATGATCTCAAGGAAATTATTCAATCAAATTTTTTAATATTATATGAAGAGAAAACTCACTTTTTAGCAAGCAGATTTAAACAAACTCAGATTTATGAGGAGAAAATTCAGAATACATATTGATAATAACAAAATTCTCATCAAGTATCCAAACAAAGGCTAATATTTAACCCAGTATTTTACATTTCCTTTTGATCTGAACCTAAAATTTTTTTTATTGTACTTTAGATGACGGTTTACGGAGCAAATTAGTTTCTCGTTAAACAATTAACACACATTGTTTTGTGACATTGGTTGCCAACACTGCGACATGTCAACCCTCTCCCCTTCTCAACCTGGGTTCCCCATTACCAGCATTCCTATCCCCTCCTGCCTTGTCAACCTTGCCCCTGAGCTGGTGTGCCCATTTAGTCTTGTATTAACTGAAGGGTGACCCTCAGGAGTGACTTCAGTACTGAGTTAAAAGGGTGTCTGGTGGCCATATTCTCAGGGTTTCTCCAGTCTCTGTCAGACCAGTAAGTCTGGTGTTTTTTTGTGAGTTAGAATTTTGTTCTACATTTTTCCAACTCCGTCCGGGACCCTGTATTGTGATCCCTGTCAGAACAGTCAGTGGTGGTAGCCGGGCACCATCTAGTTGTGCTGGACTCAGTCTGGTGGAGGCTGTGGTAGTGGTGGTCCATTAGTCCTTTGGACTAATCTTTCCCTTGTGTCTTTGGTTTTCTTCATTCTGCCTTGCTCCAGTTGGGATGGGACCAGTGGAGTATCTTAGATGGCTGCTCACAAGCTTTTAAGACCCTAGACGCTACTCACCAAAGTAGGATGTAGAACATTTTCTATATAAACTATATTATGCCAATTGAGCTAGATGTCCCCGAGACCATGGTCGCCAGCCTTCAGCCCAGTAATTCAGTCCCTCAGGGAGTTTGGATGTGTCTATGGAGCTTCCATGACCTTACCCTGAACAAGTTGTGCTGGCTTCCCCAGTATTATGTACTGTCTTACCCTTCACCAAAGTTACCACTTATCTATTGTCTAGTTAGTGTTTTTCCCTACCCACCACACACCCCCTTAGTAACCATCAAAGATTGTTTCTTTCTGTGGGTAAACTTTTTCATGAGTTTTTATGATAATGGTCTCATACAGTATTTGTCCTTTGTGATTGACTTATTTCACTCAGCATAATGCCCTCTGGATTCATCCATGTTGCGAGATGTTTCATGAACTCATCATCGTTCTTTATTGTTGTGTAGTATTCC